CCGAGGCTCTTCGATCCAGACTGGGTGTTCCCAGCATTCGAGACTTCCTACGTACCACCTGGACACGACTCCGAGATGAGCGAGCAGGCCTACTCCTAGTTCTTCCGCCAACAGACTTTTTGCACACTCTACCATATGCCAAGCATTTTGAAGACCAGTTGGAGGCATTGGTCCCCAAGCTGCCAGTTGAAGTCGATGCACCACAGGCAGCCTGGAACTGTCCGCACTGTTCGACTTGCATGCCTTCTCATATGTCCCTGATGCAACACATCACACGTAATCATCCCACCCTTAAGCTACCTCCACAACCGTTCAAAGTCTTTCGAGATGCTGCAGGCGACATGCCGCAATGCCGACACTGCCATGGCCGGTTCCAGCTCTGGTCAGGCCTTGTCAAGCACATCTCACTTGGACGTTGCTTGAAATTTGATGCAACCCTGCAGGAACGACCGTGTCCGGCTGATGATGATGAACTTCGGCAAGCAGTCAGACAGCAGGACTGGCTGGGTGCAGTGGGAACTGCGAGGTTGCTGGAAATGATTCGCCATCGATGCATCCTATGTGCACAATGGCAGCCTAGTGGGAAAGCCATCCATGAACACCTGAGCCGCATGCATCACAAGATCTGGCACGCCGCACAAGCTTTCTTGAGTCCAGTTGCCAGAGCGGTCACCACCAGCAGACCCTGCATTGGATGTGGAAACACCACCAACCGCCTCCACTCCTGTCCAGCGGCCAGCCAGTTGGCCATAGTGGCTTACCTGGAACATCACCACATGCGGGGCAGTGAAGTTGTTGATGAATTGGTCGCACCCCCTCGACCTTCACAGGGGAAGCTCTCCCAGTCTGCCCTCCGTGCGCAGGCTGGAGAGGCAGTCGAGGCCGCCACCTTTCAACCTGCCCGAGACTCAGCCAATGGCACTACCCAATGTGCACATTGCGGGAACACCTTCAACAACTTCTATGGCCTTCGTATGCATATAGAATCACTGGCCTGCAAGAGATTTGATGCTAACCGGGGAGCAGGGGACCATGTTCCCCAACAGTGGCCGTGGGTTCAGCAGCTATGTGCTCGTGGCAAGCCCTCAGACTGGCTCACGGACCCCCGATTGAAGGAAGCCCTGCAACAACAATGTGGCCTCTGTGGAAGACGAATCCAGAACACCACCGGCATAGCAAAGCACTTATACCATGACCATGCAGACACCATGACAGCTGCTCAGGCCTGGATCCAGCATGCCTACAGCCAGGCTCCGCCGGATGCTCCACCATGCTACTGCCCGGTGCCGCAGATCGGGCCACAAATGCCCCATCATTTTGCAAGCCGGAGTGCTAGGCCATCTTTTTCAACCACAACAACGGCCCCAGGTACCGGCAGACCTGTTGGCCATGATCACTGCTGCCAACTATGCCTCCATCTGGCGCCAGCCACACCTGCGCCCGAGCCTTGAAGCCCACTGTCTAGCCTGTCAGCACCTGCCAGTGGATGACCTGCCAACTCACTTGGCCACCACGCACCCCATTGATCATGTCCTCATTCAGTCGATGTATGATCAAGTTCAATGCCCAGATCTGGGGTGCTGTCGCTGGTGCATAGAGGCTCAAGACCTCCCGGAGAGGTGTCCGGTGGCCCTCAACCTGGCCCATTTCATCCGTGCCATACAACATGATGGACTACATGGAGGACACCGACTGGATGGAGCAGGTGCAGGATGCGGTGGGGGGCTTGCTGGCTCGACCGCCACTGAAGAGGGCCAAACCGGAGGAGGACGGCGAGGAACCGCCAGGAGGGCACCAGAAGGGAAAGGGCAGGGGCAAGGGAAAAGGCAAAAACAAGCCACAGGATGGCCACCAGCCCCAACACCAGCAACTGGCGGCCCTCCAACAGACCATGGGCCAGCTCATTTCCCTGACGTTGAGGCACGAATCACAATTGCAGGCGCTGGCCAGCACAGACCAATTTCTGCTCTTTTTGCCGGCAGGACCCGTGTCCCTGATGCCAAACATCCTCCAACAGACCCAGCAATGGAAAGAGCAGCAAACCAAGGGCACCAGCACGCAACCACTACGCGTGGTGCTGGGACAGATGGTGATACAGGAGATTCTCGACCGCTTCACGAAGCTCCAAGCCATGGGCCAACAGGATCCCTTGTGGCAGAAGGCCATCCACCAACTCATCATCACTCCCGAGGGCACGTGGCCATTCCTGCAATGGGATCCGACTCAGAAGAAGCTTCAAGTGTTGCCCAACAAGACCCCTATCAAGGGGGAGAAGATTCAGAAAGCACTGGAGGACCTTCTGGAGCACATGAAGAACCCCGCTCTCCTGCTGAGGTTCAAAAGTCTCCAACCACCACAGACATCCAAGAAGACAGTGATACCCTACCTCATTCAGGTCAGCATGCGCGACAACCACCTGTACGACACACTGTCGTGGCTGAGTCACAATTCAGTCTGGATGCTGGTGGAGGCCCGACTTCGACAGCACATGGTCCGCCCGACACAGTTGGTGAGCCAGCTCCTCAAAGGACATGGGCGCGGTGGCCGTGCTATCTAGACCAGGGTCTAGCCACGTTGATGGGCTGGAAGCTCATCAACCAGCAAAATGCTTGCTGGCTCAATGCCACAATGGTCTCCTTCCTATGGGCCCAGCTCCAATGTCGCGATCTGCATTGGCAAGATCTTGGAGTTGGCACGGCACTGTTTCAATCACTTTGCAGCAGGGCCAGCAACTCCCTTGACCTTCTCCGAGATCAGGCCACGCAGGCTCTGCTTCATGGCTGGCAGTGTGAAGGGCAACAGGAACTGCTCTCCTTCACCAGTCACTTTTTGGGATGGTGTCAACCACGCCTTGTGGACAACACCTGGGAACGCAAATTGGATGAAGAGGCACAGATCAAATGCCACGACCAAGGGGGAAAGCTTGGTCCAATCATTTTGACGCCGGCTGCCCAAGACAAAAAGATCCTGCCCTTGCAAGACTGTGTGGATGAGTGGCATACACAGTATGGCATGGTCACAGCCTTGCATCACGTTCAAACATGTGTGGTACTCTACATCGAAAAGTCTCAATTTTCGCCCTTAGGTGTTGCCGCCAAAGCTGAGTGGCGCTTGCAGCTGCCGCCCAATGGAGTCATTTGGCTCCCTCGCTTTCGTGAGGCAGGTGACTTGGCCATCGATCATGTGGCCTGCCAGGTCTCCAGCATGATCGTGCACTCAGGCTCACTATCGTGCCTGCTGCCAGGGACACAATGGGTGGGTCTCCTTTCAGGACAACTGGGAAGCACGGCAAGATCATGCCCTCCATCTGGACCAGGGCCAGGACATCCTGCTGGTCTGGCTTGTAGATGCCCACAGGTACTTGACCTGCCCTCCAGCTGCCACGCCCTCGGCGCTCATGAAGGATGAACTCATCACCCATGCTGTCAGGTGCTATGCCAATGCCAACTATGGGATCTTCCAGGCGCGGGACTCCTTGCTGTCGAGGCTTCTGCGCACGACCTGTCCGGTGTGTGGGATCCCGGTGATGAGCGTCGACCTCCTTGAGGAGCATGCCACAGCCTACCACTGGGAGTTGTGGCAACTTGGCATGCAACATCTGAATGCCACATGGCCGCAATGGACTGATGAAGTGCTGCCGTGTGTGTGGTGTGTTGGTTCCCTGAACCTTGAAAAGGGACCCGTTCAGCTCCAACCACATCGATGTCAGATGCTGGCGGCGCTCGGCCTCGCGATAGCATTCCATGCACGCGAACTGGAACCTATGGGCTCGATCTTTGATCTTCGGTTGCGGCCCAGTGAGCGCATCCAATGGGCACTGGCTGACAGCACGGCTCTGAGTGAAGCACTGCAGGAGGCGGCTGACCCGGCTTTGTATGCAGCTGCTGGCGAAAGCGCGGCCGCTTTTGGCGCTGAGCTGCGGCAGCGCGGAGTGAGAGCTAGGAATGATGAGATCAGGGGTGACACAGATGAGACCGACACCCTTGGTCAGGGCCTTGCGGAGTTCTTAGCACAGCTCGACTCTCGCTGGCCTGAGTAGGAAGTTTTTAGAGCTCCGGAACGCAGGAGCGGGCCCTAGCCAACGGCCGTCCAGAGGAGACGTGGCCCACGCGAGCGTCGACATGATGCTGCGACTGAAACGAAAAAAAATCTCTGGTGTCCTCCTCCTGCCCCCTAGTGGCCACGTTGGCGAAGCCTGTGCTGGTCTCCTTTGGTGTCCTCGTGCCACGGTTGCAAACCCTTTGTCCTCCTCCTGTCCTGAGTCCAGGTCTGCCTGTCCTGCTTGGCCACGTTGTCGGCCCTTCTATGACCGCCTTGTCCGGGCTTTGTCCCCTGCTTCGCCACGCCGCTTTTTCTTTCTCCACCGCCTTGTCTGGGTATGTTTTCGTGTGGCTATGAATGCAACAGTGATACAGCGTTTGAAATGTGATATCACCCTCGGATGTTCTCATGACAGTGGCATATATCCGATTTCCCATCGTTTTTGCACATGTGACACGGGCATCAGGAACGAGTGTTTTCAAACATTGTTTGTTGTTTACGCGCAGTTCCGAAGGCTATAGAAAGACATTCATGCAGGCGTTCCCACCAAAATTGGAATTCAATGATTTGACGCGTAAAAATAATGCTGACACTGATTGGGATCTATGCATAATTCATTCACCCCAACGGGAAAGTCGTTGCAATGCAGCCGTGGCAAGCAAATCACACTGAGACGCTGCGGCACGGCTAAGTCACGGCGAAGTCCTTGCAGCACTTGTTTAAGCATGAGACACGTCATTCACCAAACAGGCTTTCTTGGCGTGCATGAGACACAAACGCGCTCCTGAGCTCCACTATCCACGCAAATGTTCTCTCGCAGTGAGCCGACTGCATCTGGCACACCAAATAAAAGCGCAAGATCGCCGAGGCGTTGGCAAACGCAGAACCTCTTTGACGGCGTGGTTAAGGGTGGCTGCTGCAGACGTATATCCCGCACGGATGACGGAGCCCTGTAACCTTCATCCACTTCGAATGGCTTTGGCTGTTGAAGACTCACGGAGGGTGGAAGATCGCAAAGGCACCCCATGAAGCATGGCCTGAGACAGAGAGGCTAGACGCTGGAGCTCCGCCGCCGCCTCGCGCTCGAGCAGGCAAGCAAGCGAGCCAGTAAATGTAGGGGCTCCCATCCTTCTCTTCAACGCATCATAGGTCACTAGTGGGGCAAGAGTCGGCAAGTGCGGTCTCCCATGAGGCTGTTCCTGCTGAGAACCGTCGTCGAGCATATACTGCGAATACCGCTGCATGTTTTCCAAGACCCCGAACTCACTGCAGGTCTTCGCAAAGAAGCTGTCTCCGCAAGCCACTGCTGCGTTGCCTGCCAAAACTTCGCCAGTCACGGATGATTCCTCGCAATAAGACCCAGTCTTCAGCATAGAAATGACTCCCGCCACCTGGTTCAGGGCATGTCGTGCTCTTCAAGCCAGCACTTGGCAGCATTGGCTGTTTAATTTGCAAACTGTCAGTGTATACACCTTGTTACCTGGGCTGAGGGTCGCTTTAATGTATGCAGAAACATGCAGAAACGCACTGAACACCTCCCGAAGACGCCGTCGAAGGAGAACCCTCAAACCCAGCTGGGCAACAGCTTCTTCCGTGCCCTGAGTCTCCTGGCCTACTAGTAGGATCATCACAAGTGGCACAACAAATGTTCCGAACATGCTGGGCCTCTCTCCTGTCATTCAACACCCAGACGCAGGATGTTGGGGTTTTGGTTTAGACCCTTAATGACCCTTGGAAGCCTGACATCATGCAATTATTTCCAACCATAGACCATCTAGTCTAGGGCCAACAACCGCTAACTGAAGCCATTTCCTCTTCCAGACCAACCAACTGCCTGCTCCACAGAGGTGACCTTGCCACTGGCGGAAGCACCTCAGCTCGCACAGCGCGGAACGCGGAAAGGGCCCCGTTCAGCGATGAGATGCACCGTTTCACCGTTCCGGGTCTCCACAGACACTTCCACCTACAACAGTGCTTTGAGATGCAATGGTATGCAAACGGCACAATCCCCAATAAATACATATTAATCCATATAAATATCTTTCTATATATATTTATATATTTGTGTAATTATATATATAATACATATAATATAATATATATATATATATAATGTTATGTGTTTGGGACCCCCATCTAAAGGACACCTTGAGGCCAGCGTGATCACACCGTAGCTCCTTGCCAGGAAAAGTGCCAGGTTCGGTGTTGACGGAGGAGGTGCCCTAGTGGCGGTGATATGCTCTGGTGCCCTAGTGGTGTAATAGTCATTACAATGAACTAGGCAATATGGTTAAACGTCTCACCAAAAGTGAACATCTAGAGTCCTCGATTGGTTACGCATCATCTAGTGTGTAGGCTTGGACATACATTACCTTCCCTTGCGCGCGCTCTACTTCAGAGGCCAACCCCAGAAATCCTGCACTTGGTGCGTTCAACCTGGGGAGGGCCAACCCAGACTCCTCCCCTCTTGGCATCGTGGGCAAAAAAAGGCACATGTCTTTTTCACGGTATTGTAACTGCTTGGAAGAAATGAGGTCTTGAGCACTGGACCACAGCTGGGTGTATGGTTTTCTCAATTGAATCTAGTTACTAATGACATCCGTGAAAAAGGTCGGTCTGTGGATCATGACTCCCACTGACCACATCTGAAAAAACATTCTTTGCCCAGAACCACCCATATTCTTAGAGGCTTGTGTTGGACATGTTTCAATGCCTCAACGTCCCCCAGTTGCAGCTCCTGGCACGGGTACACAGTTGATGAATCAGCATGCCGAGAACCTGAGGCCCAATGGCAGGTGTTTTGTTGGCGAAAAGGACAAAAGAAAGTCTACCATGAGTCCTTGAAACTCCAACTGACTCTCCTCAGAAGGCACTGAAGTGCCTCAAAACTGACCCAGTTTGACCTTCCAAGTTCGGGTGCCTCAAAAACTGGTCCAAGTGGCTTCTGGACCAGTCGTCCATCAAGCGGAAGAATCATGGAAACCTTGATCGATCCTCCTCTTTGTAAAGATTGGTCTTAGAAACAAGAGTCTTGACCCCAACGCAAGATCGGTGATTGATTTGCGACCTTGACCACATGGACCTGCAGCACAGATCCACCTCTTCTAAGGAAACACGTCTAGACTAAGTCAGCTGGCCGTGCGCACCTCTTCATCTATTTCCATGGTTTGCTTCACGCCCTATGGATCCCTATGGCCATTGTTGTTTGTTTTTGTGTTTCTTTTCTAGAGAACCTCAGGCTCGACCAGGATCGCATCCCGACATCCGGTCTCCTACGTCGACATGTGCAGCGTCGACATGGACCGTCTTAAGTTGATGGGTGTAGTTCAGGAAGTTCAGTATCCAGAAGCGATCTATAGAGAGGTTGAGCAGCCCTATAGCCTCTATGTACCACCAACAAGGGTTCCAGTTCAGGTCTCAACCCTCTCTTGCTACCTCTTGGAATAGGACCTAGGTCGTGGCCGGTCTGGGTAGCAGGATCTCTTGGCCGAACTGGGATGGGCCACCTACCATCCTTCGCCACGTCCGTGGACTGGTTCGGCGAGCTCTAGGTGGGTCCCATCCGCACATTTGTCTCCTTCTTCACCTCCAGTCGTACCTCAGAGGGTCTTTTCGCTTGCACCCTCGAAGCCTCAGAATGAGAAGCTACGATTGGAGCCCACCATCTGTTTACTGGAGCTTAGCTCCCCGACTCGGTTCACCGGCACATGAAAGCTGGTCCCCGCGGCCACCTGCGGCGGCACGTGTTAGCGCTGCGCTGTGGGCGCGCCCGGACCGTCGCAGAACGGGAGAGTGCTGGCCGGCCTGGCGCATGGATTGGACTAATCACATCTACCAGGACCCTCCAAGGGGTGCCCAATGGAAGCCTATAGGTAGTGTGGGGTAGTCCATTGGACACCCCTTGGAGGGTCCAGGTATATAATGACTATGTAACTAACTGCTATCAACAGTGCCAAAAGACAAGCTGCTTGGGCGAAGGAGAGATTTTTTTATGAAGATCCAGAGTTGTCAGTTGCCTTGTTTGACCGGTCTTGCCTTGTTTGACCGGTCTTAGGTTGATTATATAGGTTGGTCTCTTTGAGGAGTGTGGACTTCTGGGTGATCCTGAAGTGGATGCCCCATGAAAACTGGAAGATCCTCCGTATCCCTTTTGCCAAGAACCCCAAACCATCCATGCATGGAATCTATGCCCTCTGAAATCACCCAAATGTAGTGAGGTCCAGTCCCGTGGTCTGGGAATGTTGAGCTCTCCTTGCTCCAGCTGGATGGTTCCCGAACGTGAAAACGTTCGAAGATCAGCTCCCGGAACTTGGTAGAGTGAACCATCAAAGATGCCCCATTCGTGGATGAGAGCAATCACAGAAAGAAGTGCTGACAGAAGATGAGAGAACCGGGTGTTTTGCGAACAAGAAATCTGTGGATCATCCTATTTCGTGGCTCAGTCGTGCCCGTTCTGCATCCGATTTCTTTCAACACATTCCAAGGTCGTGCCCGCATGAAGATCCTGAGTTCCAACAGCCACCACGATCTGCCTCATAATCGATACTTTCCATTGCAGCAGCGCCCACCTGGGCGTCCAGTGTAAAGCGGTGCCCAGTTGAATCAAGACCGACATCACGGAGGGACCTGGTAGGGGATTCTATATACCCTATAGGGCTCCAACCATATCCTCAGGTGGTTAGACTCCCCAAACCACATTCTCAGGAGGTGGTTGGAGCCCTAGGGATAGTCGGGCAATTTTCGATATCCTGGAATACCAACGAACATTGTCTGTCTTGAAGTCTTGAAGAAACCTTCCTTCTCTTCAACTTCTCACTTGTTTAGCGGCTTTCGCTCAGTGCGCTGGCCCGCACCAAGACCTGTTTGAACTTGTGATCAGCACATGTCAGGGAGTCCGAAAGCTAAACTGCTAAACCGATTCAGCAGTCCAAACAGTCCACGCCAAGATCTGAAAAACCTCCCAACTGCTTACAACAGAAAAGAATACAGAGACCTGAAGAGACCCTTCGACCAACCAGTTGTAGACTCATAGACTCATAGATACATACACACTTAATCACACTTATATACACCTGCAGAGTAGATTGAGAACGGTTTGAGGCAGACCTGCCGCAGGTCCTTGTTTTCGTCCTCACTCCTATGAGTTTGACAACCCAGGTGTCCTGGCTGGACATGGTGGATGGCAGCATAGGGTAGTCCAGCCAGGACAATCATTAGATTCATTAGATGGTCCAGGTATATGTCTGATTCATCACTTTTGGGCGGATTTTCTTCCCATCCTCTCCTTCTTCCCCCCCTTTGGTGCCCGGCCCTCCCTTCCGCCAGATGCACCTTCCAAGCTGGAAAGCGATGCGAGTGTTCTTTTGTCGGAACCCATCGATTTATGGGTGAAGCCCCGTCTTACAAAAAGATGCGCCCTACTAGTACGCGCCCCACAACCAATTGTTTGAAGGTCACACTTTGTTCACCAACCTTTACCAACCAACCGTGCGTGTGGGGCGCTGGTGTGCCTGGCGGCTGGTGTGTCGGATGCGTGCGGCGTGGCGGTGAGTTCGGCATTCCCTAGCCATGCCATACGTGTGGACCTTCTTGGAGTCCACCAGCGAGGCGAAAATCGTTTTCACATCATCATGCCATAGACCCTATCAGGGGCCCGACAAACCATCAAAGACCTGGTTTTCCTTAGCTAAAAAACCATGGTGTTTGTCTGAAAAACACCTTGATGTTTCATGGTTTTGAGGGCTGGTAGAACTCCAAGTACCCCCCTCAGAAAGGCACAAAACTTTCAAGTCCCTAAAGACCGAACCTAAACGAAGGCATTTGAAGCCCCAGGGCATAGGATCCCCAGGAGCCTAGGATCCGCTCAATGCCCTGACTCCTGGAGAAGCCCAGTTGGAAGAGACTGTGGCCACACCTCTGTCTTCACGACTCAAAACGGGGTGGGAAGATTTTGGAGAAACGCCCCAAACCAAAAGCAACACTCCCAAAAGCAAGACGTTTTGGAGGATTAGGTTAGCTTTTGTCAAAAAAATACTTGCACATCCTTTGAGACCAAGTCCAAACAACTGCTACCAACAGAGCCCCACAAATCCCGCTCACACGCGATGAGCGGGAGGAGGGTGAAATCCAATCTGGAACGCTTGCGGAAACTCCAACGAACCTCTTGAAGCGGGTTGGGGTTGCCTCAAAGGTTTTTACTCATGTTTGTTTTGGCAAGACATCTTTGTAAGGGCACAAAGTAAAATATCTTTGGGTGGGAGCTCATAGTGTCATAGATTGGATAGGTTTGGAGTTGTGCCGATTCACTTGACAACAAAAATTGACAGTCTCGTGAAATCTTGTGTTGCAGGCCGCCGCAAGAATAAGGAACAACCAAAAAGTGTCTCTCTCTCTCTCTCTCTCTTTTTGTATATTGGAACACCAAATCGCTTTTGGACCCCACCTTCTGAAGGGTTGCGCAAGTCCATGGTGCCCCCCTCATTCTCACTCCCAACCATGAACATACTATGTATATTAATATGTGGTATCAGAATGGGGCCCACACTCCCACTCGACCGGCCATCATAAGTTCGAACATCTTTAAAACATACCTATGGCAATTCTGCTAGGGGGGGTCTTACTACCCATTTTATAGATATAACATGGTGATTCTACCCGATCTTACTACAGTGGGTATTGCCACGGAGATGTTAAAGCCATTTAAGACATCATTCCCCAAATGTGCCATGAGACATCCTGAGACCATCCACTTGACTTGACATCCAGCCCCGCCGCGAGTCCCCTCCCGCCTGCAGCATCCAGCCCCGTAGCTCTTGCCAGGCCAATCGCCTTGCTTCACGGTGAACCCGAACGGCGAAGCGCCGCGCGGTTCGCGTGGGTTCGGGGGGACGTGGTGGGGGACGTTTCGGGAGGCTTGGACAAGCAGAACGTGCAGTGGGTGGGGGTGTTTGAAGAAAGCTTCCTGGAAGGTTGGAATGGGGATGATGGGGGGGACATTTGTGTGCTTGGTCGCTTGGAGAACCTTTGTTTTCGGGAACAACACACATTGTGCTGGATGGGAATTGAGTGAGTATAGTATATGTGCGGAAACGGGACACTTCTTGGTGCAGCATCAGCTCACCGATTTCAGAGGCCCCGGATGACCCCAAAGGAGTGCACAATTTCCGGACAGGGCCCCTCTTGGAGATTCTTCTGGGAGTCCTGTAGAAGATCAGTCAAAGGATCAGTCAATGATTTCTCCCAAGTCACGTCCTGTGATTGCATTTGCCACCCCCTACGCACCCCGTCTGACCATGTACTAGCTGTCAAGGTCAGTCCCCACCACGCAATGAATTACTCTGGATTGCGTCTTCCTTCTTCTTCGCAAGCTAAGACTACCAGGAGTTCCAAAGGGGGTGCCTTATTGGAGGCTATGGCCTTTCACTTGAGGACTCTTCCGTCACCCACCCCACCCCTGGTACTCTCACCGTCTCAAGTGCCCGGTCTCCGGAGCAACCGACCGTCCCGGGGCTTCGGGCGCCATGCGCATCACGGGCTCCAGCTCCGCCTTGGTCTCCACGGCATCCAGAATGAGCCATGTGTTCGACCTCCACGCGCCCGCCATGTCCATGTGCGACCAGTTCCGTTGAAAGGACGAACTGGGAAGCTGGGAAGCTGGGTGGGACATAGATGGGGTAGACATGGGTAGACCATAGGGCTCAACCGTATAGCAAATTCTCCCCGGTTTTTCAGACATTGGAGCATCCAGTCTCTGGCCCTTGTGGCCGCAGGATGGCACTGGCTGTTGGTGACCTATTCTTTTATCCCAGACCATCCATGTGTGATATATTTACCTACATATTGGGGTGGTTTGGAGGATCAATGTAGGCATATATATTCCAGTCCCATGGATGGTCTGTGTGGAAACCTTCCCCAGCGGGTTCTCCGCCACTACAGGAGAGGAAGAAAACGCTTGTGATGTGGTGACTTGTTGGAGTGGTGTGCTGTTGGAGGGCTGTTGGAGTGGCGTACACGAAAAAGGTCCTTCAAGTGGCCAGAAACTGTGGGGTGGGTGAACAGAAATAGGTTGTTTTACTGTTGTTTTGAGGTCTTGGGCACTTTTCGTTTATCCCTGGATTTGTGCTGTGTCTTTTCTTCGGAGTGCCCTTTGAACAGTTCCGTCTGCGAGCAACACTTTTTTTGGAGGGTTTCCCCATCGCCAAGGGACAATCCAACAGATTCCAAAAAGCAATGATAAATAAAGAGAACATGGCTGGACACCCAACCTTCACTTGTTCAATGGTCCACACTCTTTACATGTCACATCCACATCCACTTCATCTAATTGATGGATTCAGTATGAGTCTATCAATGAATCTGAGCGGCTCAATCTAGAAAAGATCAACCCCCGGCGCAAACAGTCTTGCCCCCCAAAGACGATATATACGTATGAGCTTCCATCATCCATCCCATCTAACCGCTGGCAAGCACTCGCTCTGGGCGCCGTCCCGACATGAGGTCTGTGTGCAAGGTCAAGGCGTTGCCCCAGGAGGGGTTGGTGAACCTGACGGTTACGGCGCAGGTAGGGGTTATACAGGGGTTGGTGATACATGGTGATACCGTGATACATCGTGATACCAACTACCACCCCCAAAAGCACGGGACATAGGACATCATTTAGGACCCTGAACTGAACTGACCGAACTGATATCATACTGGGTTTGTGACCTGAAAACTTGTATAGGGGGCATGTGTCTAGACCCAGCGAGGTGCTGTGCTGGTCTAGACACATGCAGGAGGCCCGGATCGCAAGTTCTCGCTTCTGTGGCTGCCTGGACTCAATTCTACAGATTTCTACAGTATGTGGCTTGGGTGTATCCCATTACCAGGGCCTCAGTGGATGATGATGGTTAGTTAAGGCCTTCTTTAAAATAGTGATATTTCTTGACCGGCTGTTACTGGTTTGCTGGGCTACACCCTAAGTATGGTTGTATTTGTTTAAAATAGACCCGGACCCTCCTTTCAGTGTTTTTGTCCAAGGGAGCTGATTGCATGCTGCAGACTGGTGTGGCAATAGCTTGGCTTTGGTTTCCACCGGATCTTAGGAACCCCACCATCCGACCTGGCGGTAGATAGGATGAACCATCCGACTGAACTGCCACCATCCGACTCGACAAGTCTCCAGGTCTCCAATTCCACCAGAACTCGGAGACGAGTCGGGTGGTAGTTCGGTATACTCGGCATGGCTCACGACTGCTGGTTGAATAAGTGAGGATTGGCCGACAGAAGGGCATACCACTGTAGCCAGCAACTGTATGCTTTCAAAAGCGTCTTCCAATAGATAGATTCACCACGCTATACTCCGTCTCCACGTACGCTATCTACAGGCTTCAACAATCGCATCGATGTCTAGATTTCGTCATCAGTGTCCGTCCCCCCCGGTTCCCTCCCATGTCTCGTTCGGGTGTTTGTTCCTCCTCCGCCTCCTTGGTCCTCCCCGTTCCCCTCGGGTCTGAGTCTCCCGAACTCCACGTGGCTTCCCGTGCGCCGCACGTGAGGGTTCATGGCCTCCAGCGGTCCACCCGCCGAGGTGGCCAGGGTTCGGTGTGCCACATCGATCGACCTCCATGGTCAGGTTTTGCGATGGAGGTCGAACGGTGAGCTGCATCAGATTCCCGGAAAACCTTCCCGGGATGTGTATCAGTCATTGCATCCATCAAGGTACTTTGCTCGTCGCCGTCTCAACTTCAGTAGTTCGTCGAAAATGCATGAAAATGCAACGAATTGATCACTACGGGTGACTACGGGTGTCCAGCACCCGCAGCTCCTAGGTGTTTCCTCTTCGTCCCTCTCTCCCACTCATCTTGTCTCGGCAGGCCCAGGGGGGGTGTGGCAACCAGGCCATACCAGGCCTACTTAAGTCACCCGTGCCACATCCTCAGGGTCACCATCTCTCACCCTTTGGCACCTCACCCCACAGGGACGCCCCCCCCCTCCCAAGCTGGCCTCAGCCCTCGCAGGGGATGGGCTCTCCATATGATGACCAGGCTGTTTCACCGGGACCACCGGAACCGGCCAATCCAAAAGAGCTGTCAGCCCCTGGCTTCGAGCTTCAGGTAATGACATTGGCCGTGGGTCAAAACCCCGTCACCCTGGTTGACCGCTGAAAATGAACAGCTTCCTCTTTTTCAGGGATGTCAACCCACCCAGAAATTGGGACGTCCAATGGTTTTGACATGTTTTGACCCATTGCCATTGCCACATGATGTCCATGCATCCACCACTCCTTCACAAGCTCCATCCTGCTCCATCCCTGTTCCGAGTCGTCGTTCGCGGCGAGTCGTCGCCTGCATGGCCACCAGGATCCGCAACCAGCCCTGCCAGAGCTCCTCGCGCAAGCCGCGCTCGGAGCGGAGGATCTCTTTGGCTACCTCTGCGTGGTCCAAGACATAGAGCAAATCCATGGAACACCTGGGGAAGGCTCAGGTTTTGAGGGCTCAAAAGCCCGGTGATTGCACAGGAATGATGAAAGAGAAAGCCATGAAAGCCATGAGAGGACCAAGCCTTGCACGAAAGTGTCCGGCTGGTTAGTGTTTTCACACCTCACGCCGACTGATCAGCCGTTCACCTGGTGCTACACCTTCAACCCATCTGGTCACCGAAGGGAAAAAACGAAACACGGGTAACCGAGGGTATACTAAAGTCATCTAAAGTCAAACGCTTGCGCCAAACACACAGTCTCAAACCGGCGAACCCAAAAGTCCACATAAACCCTAGGGCCCTAGGGCTCCACTCGTACCTCCTGAGGTTCGGTATCTGGACCCTCCTGGCACCCACCCTAGTCTCACCTTCTCAGAAGGTACGACTGGAGCCCTATAGGGAAACATGCAGCTGAGGAGCTGGATGATCTCATGGTCCCGAAAAGTCTTGGACTCGTGGTTGAACACCGGCGGCTGGGCATCCTCCAACAACCTCGGTCCAAGGGCGCGAACCTCCCAGGATCATGAGAGTTGGGGTACCTTAAAACATTCTTGAACCTGCCATTGACACAGGACGATCTTCACTCTAGGACAAAAGCACCCAGAAATGGTCCGATCTGGCGAGAACCAGAGAAGCTTTGCAGCTTGTCACCTTTCGGACCATGCCAAGCCTTTCGACCCTTTACTCAGCCCCAATCGCCTATAGCCTAGACGGTCTTGTTGATGATTCACAACATTTCACCACCAAGGGTCCTTGCAGAGTTCTCTGCCTCTATCTCTCGTTGTGTTGATGTTGCGTCTGGAGACGCTAGAGTTCTCCAAGTTCTCCTAACACATCCCAGCGAACTCAGTACCGGTCCCTCAAAGAAATATCACAGAATAGAGTGCGATCATGTGTGATATCATGCGATATCCTCATGTCCGGAACGTTGCCGGTCACAAGCATTCCCCTTTTTGGCGAGGCCAGGAGTCAGTCAGCGAGACGTGTGGGACAAAACAGAGCCGCACAGGAGCATCTCAAATGATCTTTTCCTGGTCTGGGGTTTTCGGTTACCTCTGCTGAAACTCAGTGTCCAAAGACCAACTGCCCCAAATGCCAGGACTTACATCTAGCAATGAAGTGGCTTCTGGAGCCGCCAATACATTGGTACTCCCATTTGATAGGCCAGAAGTGGTGACCTAATACCCTCTGTGTTCCACCATGGACTGGGCAGCAGATCCAATTGGAGTGGGTGGGGGCTCTTCTGCCGCAAGTGAGGCTTCGGCGTGGGGCTGAGCAAGTCCCACAAGCAGTTCAACCTCACCGCGGCGATGTGAAGGAAGGGTAAAGCTGCAATTCCCCACGTGGCCCGGGGGCTGACGCCCCAACCGACAGACGGAGTGAACAAGTCCGAGCAGATTGACCCACGGGGGTATTTTGATCCAAGCAGGATAGTCATGATCCAATTCCAAGAACAATCTGAGACATCGCGACTTTTTGGAAGACCACCTTTTGCTTCAAAATAGATGGTGTTTTTTGTGGTTTCTGAAGGAAGTGAACACCACTCAGTGGCTTCATGGATGAATGGATGATCACGGATGAATGATGACATGGATTCCAAACTCCGAGGACCGGAGGACCGGAACAGGTCGATGCCTCGATGCCTAGCACACCCGCCAACGTCCGGAACTCCCAGGACCATTCCTCCCAAGCATCAGGACCTGACACGACCGGGACTAGGATGGGACCGATGCCATCGTGGCTGTTTCGAACCGTGCCAGGTGTTAGTTTGTACCTGGACCCTGGACCGTCGTACTCCTTAAAAAGGGGATAGAGTCGTACCTATTTTAAGAGGGTCATGTCCCATTTTCTGGGGTTCTTTGAACCATCTGACACAGAGGCTTCGAAGGAGAGTCGGACGAGAGTCGGACAGCCTGGGCATGCCCCTTCAGCCTCTGCAGATCTCGGGGGCCTACATTCACCAGCAAAAACTACCACATCTAGGCCATCTCTAGTAGTTGGTGGACTCCAGCCTCCCCAATCGCTGGGTCTTCGTGCAGGGTCTTCAGCAAGTTCATCTCCCGAACCAGCTCCAACGTCACGTCCTGTCCCAAAAAGCATTTCCGGACGCTGGCAGCAAGCCCAATACCCCAAGATTCTGTCGACCAAAATCTGAACTAGCTTTATTTGATTGCAATCGGATAACAATATCAGTGTTCTGGATTATAAACTATAATTATAAACTATAAGTGGAACCGCTTGATGATACGACTCCATGCTTGCTCCACCAGCACAACTGAGGGCCCGAGGAGGGTTGATGACATTTTGATTTGGATCAATCGCACAAAACGGAGCACCTTTTGCTGGTGTTGGAGCGACCCACAGGTTCCATGGAGTCGGCGACCGCAAGAGCTTGGGGTCCAAAGCGAGGGGTGCTCAAACTTGAAGATCCACGGCCCCAGGATGGGGTCTAAAAACATCTAAAAGCAACCCCGACATGGAAGCCGAACTATCACCAATGGACAACCAAAAAACACATGCTGAACACGGCACATGGGCACCATGCTGGATGCTGGATGCGACGGGACAGGGCTGCGGCTGGACAGCTTGTGGGTTCGGATGTGAACCCTGTGAACCATGGTGGTTGAACACCCAAACCGCCAAACTCATGTTTGTACTGACTGGTGCTGACTATACGAAAAAAAAAGTATAATATGGTGCATATATGGTCCAATGACCACACTCTTGGGCCAGGGGGAAGTCCTGCCATCAACGAAAAAAACACAAATGCAATCGGCCATAATAAATACTCCAACCGGTACTCTGAAGAGTTCGTGCCCTGACCACGACTCGGCGACGTGCCTGGCGCGTGAAGATTTGGCAGGTAAAGTCACCCAGCTCGTTGGTGTCCTGGTTGCCTTCCTCACGAAGGCGAGGCAAACGAGCTGAGGCGATTTGGAATCTCGTGGCTCAATGGCGCCACTGAGGAATCTGCAGGTGTTAACAAGACCCAAGCACGCTAATGCTTTACCTGCGAAACGCCTATGCTTTACCTTGCCTTCAGCGCTTCTCGAGCTACAGGTGCTTCTCATGCATAGAAGTGCAGGAATTCCGTGTGACATCGTGTGATGGGCCATGGGCTGGGCCATGGGTCGTTTGGCCCGTCCAGTTTTGTCGAAGGCAGAAAATAGGCGAAAAGCAAAAATGGCAGCAGACATCCACAAACCCTAGGGCTCCAAGTCACCTCCTCAGGTTTTTGGTATTTGGACCCTCCTGGCACCCACCTCAAACACCTTAGAAGGTACTTGGAGCCCTAGGGAAAGCAAATCCATTGCTCCAAATCATTCAACTCCGCACCCCCGGCTGACGCCACACCTCTGTTCCGGCCTCCGGCCTGAAATGACACACTCCCGACGGACACCAGCGGGAAACCATGGGGGGTTTCCACCCGGTTGATCTCGGTGTACCATGCCATCCACTTCCGAACGGTGAGTCGGAGGCGTCGTTTTTCCGGCGATGCGCATCATCGAGCATCTCTGAGCGCCCGCGCCCTGTTCTGCACCAGCTCATGGTAGAGAGTGGTGAAGACCTGATCGGCATCCCGGTCCAATCCGGTCAAGTCCCAATCATTGGGTTCTGAATTCTGCACTTGTGGAAGGAATTAGAAGGAAACAGGTGGGAAATCTAGTCAGGGTGGATGTCACAAGACATGGACTTTGAAAAAACTATTCAGTCCAAATGCTAACTCCACAGCAACAGCAAAACCACCAATAAAAAAAAGGCAAAACCCAGCTGCCTTAAGACATACACCGTGTCATACACCCCAAACCACCCCAAACCACCTTGGCGAAGCGGTGCTTGAAGTCCAGGTCTAACATGAGGTCCACCATGAGGTTGGTCCTTGGTCGCTCCGCCCCGAACGGCCGGCGCCAGGCACCCAGTGGCCCAGGACAGTTGCCGAAGAATGCATGCTTCGCGCTGCGCAGAGAAATGGCCATTGCAAAAAAAAACAACAACCAAAGATGTGGTGATATTTCTTTGAGTTTGAGATGAGCATGGAGAAATTTCTGGCAGTTGGACTGTGGCGGACGGAACAACACCTATACATGAGACTGATATGGGTACCTCCCAGGCAACGACCCCCCTGGATGGTTCGGGAAATAGACTAAACAGAGCAAGCTGTAAATATTGGAGATTCACAGCATGTGAAGCAAACATGTGATCACTTCACTTCAAATCGTTGCAAAATCAGCTTATAAGTGCCCGGCTCGAGTTTCCTCACCGAAGGCTCCATCAAGTGTGAATGCCTCGAATCCCGACGAAAGACGCGTCGCTGTGCGTCGCGTCGCAGCGCGTTGCCACTGCAGCGTGCGGTTTGAAAGAACATGGACCCGACTTTAAGTACCCCAGAAAATTGGACATGTACGATAGGACCCATTTTTGGAGTACGAACCTTGCGAACTGAGAGTCCAGGAACATGGAGAATGACCGTTCTCGCTTTTTGACCTTCACCCCATCGAACGGCCATTTCAAAAACGGTACAAAAAGGTAAAATGTCTTTTGGGTTGGTTAGTATGAAAAACAATCCCATGCAACTGGAAGATTTATATGCCTACCCTTGACCAGAATCTTAGTCGAACAGGCCAAACAACCCCCCACAATCCCATGCAACTGTTACCTTGACCAAGATCTTAGCACATCCCAAGGTAGGTACAGAAGTCCAGTCCTATATATATAAAAAAATATATTGGGCATGTTTCTTCAGGAGTCCATTCTCTTTCGTCGCATGAAGTGGCACAGGTCCTACAGGTCAGGAACCCCCTACAGGTCCTACAGGTCAGGAACTGACCTCATGGGTGTTGGTCATCAACACATAGCCGCTACTCCATGAGGTGGACGCAGGACCAGGTTTGGACCTGGGTCAGTCCGACTGGACCTGTAGTGCTTATCTGGTTCAATAGGAATCCGGTGCAACACATGTGTCACGACGCAAAGAATGACCATGCTCAGGGTTGAGCACTCTGGTCATCCACACAGATCGGTCAAGAACCATGAACATGAATGGTCTGCTGGGCGTTCCGGAAAACAAGAGCCACATACACTTACTTGTGGAAGTCCGGAACTGAATCGGAACATTCACTTTCAGGTCATTTCACTTATAGGTGCATCAGTTAGGGAAGTCATTGACCTGAAATGCACTGAATTCACAGTAACATTAGAGAGACATTCTACTGCCTCATTCTACTGCCAGGTAGTCTGAGGGCTTGCAAAGGAGAAGGGGCAGGACTCCTCTATGTAACTGATCTCCTTTGGAATCAGGAAGGGTCCCGGTTTCGGTCCATCCTTGCTAGGGCCCCTGTCCACTTTGAAAGTGTGCCGACTCTACTGCTTGAACAGCCCTTTTAGATATAGTCTCACAGTGTCAAAACGTACACAGACTCCAAAAGCAGCCCACACATATATTATTAGTAATTCGGACATATACGTGTGTAGAGAATTCAGGCCAGATCGTGGATGTTTCAACAGAAGTGTACTGCACAGGAACCTGTGTTGCATTTGGAAAGGCTCAAGAATCTATATAATCTAGTTGCGACGGGTCTCCAGAATGAGGGAACCCTGATTGACTTTGACAAACAATGACACTCCGTTCAAAAAACAATCGAAAGGATCATCACAACCTAGCTTTTGCCATCAAGAAACCATCACCAGTAATCCATGATGATGCCGAGCAACTGTACAAGTCAAAGTTTCTCCAATCAACTGGAATCCTGGAATCCTGGAATGGGAATAGTATTTTTGGTTACACCATGTTGCACCTGCATTTCGGCGTTCGCCGGTCGACCTCACGTGCCAATGACATCTGTATAGTATATATAATCCTCCGCTCCTCACTCTTCCAGCCTCAGCAAGATCTCCACCGCACTTTGAGCCTCCGGAGGAACACCGAGGGCAGACCGGAGCTTCACTGGGTTTGGAGGCGCATGTCCGGCGGGGCGCTGGTTCTCTTCGGAGCCGTCCATAAAATGCGCCGGCACAGCGAAGATTTGCAAGATGTCAGGCTGTATGAGTATAGCATTTTTTCTGAAGCTGCTTTGAAGCTGCAGAATCCGGCCGGTTGTCAATCTGGGCTTCTGAAGGAAATTGAGAGTGCACAAGAAGGGACTTTTCTGTCAGGGATGGTCGCTATACTGCATGCCACATCAACAAGCCTTGAACATGCCACATCCGGAAACGGTCTTTTCCAGCACCCACAACTCGGCCCATACCAGGCCACCGGTGACCAGCCTTTCCTTTGAAAGAAGGGATCTCGTTGGTGGGTCTCCAGCGCGGTCCGGGGTTCCGACGCGGTCTGCGGTCTGCGCACCCCATCTCAGGTCGCTCCAGTGCCCGTCCCGGCCGGAGTCAACGAGACGACATGATCGTTGATCCCTGTGGATCCATAGGGGATGTTACTCCCGGGCCGGGCTCCAGTCGTACCTTCGTTTCGAAGGTGGGACTGGGGTGGGAGGGTCCAGTCATACCGTACCGCTTCGGAGGTACGACGGGAGCCCGATGGCACTGGCCATCCCGGACCAAAATGGCTAGAATCATGCAATTCCTTCGGGACACCCCACCGGACACATGTCTACAAATTCCTCAAGATCCTCAAGATTCAGACCAAGAAATTGCGTGTCCACCTTGCCCAGGTGACCCTCTTCTCCCACCATCGGCCTGTCCCAAGAGGTTTCGGTCCAAAAAGACCTCTTCGGCCGCTGAGCTGATCAGGCACCCCTGTCTTGCCCAAAAGCTGACCTAGCCTCAAAGGCAAGTCATGTCTCCATGTATCTGCCCCAACCTCTGCACTGCTTGCACCCTAAGAATTGGTTGCCTATTATATAGTTATTTTATACAATGATTGGAGAAACCCATCATCCTGTAGATGTTCCACTTGTAATCAATTTAGACATATTTTAACCATTGAACAAAAGTGGTATGATGTGAGGCCATCTGGAAGGGGCCTGTCCAGCTTCGGATTCTGAGCCACACTCGGCTTGGGGGGGACCGGAGCTTCGAAAAAAAGCAAAAGTCTGATGGGTGATTCAACCATTAACTAGAATCTGTTATAGTAGGATATAGTAGGATCTCTTCGGTCTAAAGGCGATCCTAGACCCAAACCATCGATCCTATACACGGTGTTCTTCGATCCAAGTTGCCCAGGACGGTCCAAGTGGTCGTCATCGATCCAGTGGCGAATGGGTTGAGACTCTGAGCCTTTGGGAAGGGGGATTTGGAGCAACAATTCCTCCCACCTTGGCTCAACCTCGCGACTGGAAGATCCTTCTTGTCAGACTGAATGACGCGAACGAAGAACTGCAAACTCTGGATCATCAACACTGGTTCAAGCAAGGTAGTCAAAGTACAATGGCATTTCGACAAAAGTCCTTTTGAATCCTTTTGAACTGCTCTGTGGTGCGGCTCATTGGAGCTGTGTTCTTCTTCTCGCTGCGCTTTCTTCTCGAAGCTCCGGTGTAGCGCATCCGGACGTCACCCCCCCAAAAGAAACAAGCGTTGACATGCGTCTTTGAGTGCTACCAGGCAAGGTAGGAGCTTCCAAAGCATACATGGCCATGGAAATTGTATGCATACCCCACCGTATCCTACCCTGCCAGGAAGCAGAAAAAGGTTGGTCAAAAAAAACAGGTAAAAACACTTGCATCATGTGGCTCCATACTTTCCAGATCATTCGGGCGTGTTGGCCTTCCCAAAGCAGAAAACCGCCCGTCCTGGTCCCGCCCAGAAAGCCCATCCGTCGGCGGCCTGGCCAATGATCTTCCTCAGCCCATCCTGGGGAGAACGGGTTCGCAGACTTCGTCGGGAGAGTCCAAGGATGGCGGAAGAGGATGAAGCTCGCTAAAAGCTATAGCCTCCCCACACATGGATTTCGGGACTGAACTGCACCATGTTATATAATTAGTGGAAAGCAAAGATTCGGGCTGCTTGGAACATGTTGAAACATGGAGGATTGTGTCGGATGAGCCGGGCAGGTACATTAAAAAAAACGCCGGCCCAAAGGCCTTCGCTTTTCCTGCCGAGGTGCATGGAAGCCGCCCAAACTCAGAAGCCACTCGAAGTTGGCCTCGAGCGCCTCACGGGGAAATGGCACCAAAGGCCGTGCTTCGGAAGCTGACAGAAGCCATCGCTTGGGGGGAGAGAACTGATCAAATAGCTTATTGAATAAGATTTTAAAATAGCGTGAACGAAAACGTATAGTATAGAAGGGAGCCAAGGTCCTTGTGAAAACCCAGCCCTTGCTACCAGGTTGGCAAGTGCGAGACGCTGTATATCCGTAAACGTGGAGACGCAACAAACCAATGCGTCACGGATCGTCACAGTCAACAACCCTTTCAAATCATGTTCATGGCGGGAGAAAACCACTTGCCCCATCTGTTTGTTAATATCTTTACAATCCCTGGGGCTCCAAGTACCTCCTCAGAAGGTATTTGGACCCTCCAAACCCACCTCAAACACCTTCTTAGAAGGTACTTGGAGCCCTAGGGAATATCTTGTTCTTGAATCCTTATCATCACCAGGTAGCTCCTGGTAGCTTTATGAGAATCAGCGATTCGGGGGGGCCAAGTCTTGCGAGCAAATGTTGGGAATGGGAACCCCGTTCCACTGTTCACTATCCACCACATTGGGGGTCAAAGCCTGATGACCTGATGGAAGAAAAGAAGCTTCGGTCAATTCTAAGGGTCTACCCCCCCTCAAATTCTTGGTGAGAGAAGGGATCAAAACAAGTCCAGCCAGCGAGTTAAAACTCCTCATGACGCTTGGCTTTTTGCAGCTATGGCGATCTTTGGCAAAGCTAGGAGGTGCGGCACCAGGAGTGGTGCTTCTGATTCCACTTTTGCCCGCAGTTCGGAGTTGCGCTTCCCCCTCCCTCAGCATCCCTGGTACCTTGAGGTGTTTCTCTGCCGTCGCCATGTGCGGAGCCAGGTGGATACGCAAGGGGCTGCCACCTGGCGCCACGGATGACTCCGTGGCAGAAGCCGCCGCTGATGGCGGCGTTTCATGATGTGTGGAGTGGGACGTTTCCTGATGTGGTGGAATTCTTTGGGTCTATCCTATTGCCAGTAACACTGGATGGTTGGTAAAGGCCTTGTTCAAAAATATCTGCTTTCTTAATGAATCGCTTTTTCAAGCTTTTTGCTGAAGGACTGGAAGCCAAGCGCGAATTCTTAGTCATCATTGCCGAGAATTGTTGACGGACTCTTACAGGCAGGACAGGCCAAAGGACTTCTGTTCATGTGTTCGAGGGTGATTAGCTGGATGGATCCTGGGGACAGGGTCTGAAAGTGGAAGCAACACATCAGTGGCTTGTTGGCAGATATTGTTCCATATATACCTTGATGTGGGAGGGAGAAGGGGATCAAACAGAAACCTCATGAAACCTCCATTAACCTCCATTACTTTGTGATGTCTGGCTTCTTTGGATTCATGATTTGAAGCCCCCCTAAACATACGTCGAAGTTCATCACCCTTCCCTGTCATGGGGGGGATGGAACAAAAGCACCCAAAACAGTTTCCATACATCATCGCCATCAAACAAACCCCTCAGTTTGCCCGGAAATAGAGGTTAACCGCAGCCTTTTTCTCTCTGTTCTCGAGCGGGGAAACCAATCCACGCCCAAAAAGGATCATAACATGCTTATTCACTGACTGGGTAGGAACACATAAATCCATCTTTGTGAAAGTCTTTCTCTTTGATCCTTTCCCTGCCGAACCACGGCGCATCACCGTCCTTCCTCGGGTGCCCCGGCGGAGCACTTCTCCATCCAGCGCGCCGAGCGCCTGCGCCCCGGCCTGACGCATAGCGAAGAGAAGGAGGGGCGGTCGCCATGCAAACCCCAATCATCTGACTGATGCGACTCGTAGAGAACATGGGAAGAATCTCCCCTATACTATACCTATATTCACTCCATAGGACTGCCGATCAGTTGGGGTGGTGCCAGGGGGGGTCAATGTAGGCATATATGACAGACATGGAGTGTCTGGGATAGGGAATGAGCCCCTACTCCACCCGTCATTCCTTACGAAGCACCAGTCAACCCAGTGATGTCTCGCTTGGGAATCATCGGAGATGATCCAACCGTAGCTGGTGATTTTTGTTGAAAGATTTTGTGCGTTCCAGTGCCTCCATCCTCAAAAGAGACCTATTAGAGCAAGCGACGTCGGCTATGAACTGACTCATGACGAGACTTTGGGTCTGTCCTACCAAGGATTCGATGTCCAGAAAGGGATCCTGGAAATCGTTTCTTTGTAGGCAGAAAAGCAAGGAGTTTAACAAACAAGTCGGTCCCATCAGCCTTTATGCCTTTTCTCCACCAGTGCTTCACCTAGTTTTGTCCAACCCTCCTTAATTAGTGAAAACAGTCCAAGTCCCCAACTTCACACCATCAGTACTTCCAGCAATCCAAACCACTCGCTCGCAATGCTCTCCTTACCTGGACTATCCTGTCTGGGTGTCCAAGATCCCTATAGCAAAGTGAGGTAGTCCAGCCACACCCCGAAGCGACTAGACATGGTCACCAGGTGTCGGCCCTGTGGTCGAAGCAAATGCATTGGAAGAACTACTGGTCACCCACTGTGAAAAACACTGCGCACCGACCGATGTCTCCATGTGTCAGTGCCTTGGGTGCTTCCAGAATCTCAGGGACCTCTCTGAACCAAATGATCTCAGGGGATTGAGTATCAGTCTATATCAGTCTATATATCAGTATCATTGAATCTCAGGTCCATCTGGGTATCTGGCTCAACTAAAGTTTTTAACTTCTAGCGAGCTTGCATTGGTGTGGCTCGGATCAACGATGATCAACTCACACCTGCTGACGTGTTGTTGCCCCGTTGGACACTGCAAGGGAGTTTGGGTTTCTGCTTAATCTCAACGTTCCCCTGTGAAGAATCATGTCTTGAAACGGGTGTGTTTGGGGAGCCATGTTTCCGCTTACAACGAGTGGAACTCGGATGAACTCGGATGAACTCGTCGACCTTGTTTTTTTTCCCGCAAAGTCAGACGTCGACTTTGATCAATGACCCCCTGATTCTTGGAATCTCCAGAATCTCACATCACAACTGACGTACCTTAGCTAGCATATGCCGCGCAGCAATGACACCCGGCTCTTCTGCTGTTGGGGGTCCCCCCTCTTGGAAAGAGAGAGAGAGAGAGAGAGAAGCACTTCCAACCAAGTGAGGTCGCATAAAAGAAGGTGAGTGGCACAATAGTGGCACATCCGGGGCACAGCTCATAGAACCTAACAGCATCAACCCCGCAAATCACTTGCCCCATTTCTTCAGAAGTCAAGAAAGATGAGAGAAGCCAGCCCTCTTTTTGGAAGACATCCAACTGCCTTTTGAAGGTCGCATACCTTGGGACAAGTAGCTTACTAGAACTCTGGGAAGCCAAAGAAGGGTGCCAATGTCTTTGTCAGGGTATGCTCACTTTTCCCAACAACCGCAGGAACATGCAGGAACAACATTCCAACCTGTTGACCGTTTTAGGATTTTAGGAGGCAAGGTCAGTTTATTGAACAACTGGCTATGGCTGTGCCTACCTGGCCAGAAACCAGGGGCCCACCAACCCCCCTGTTGGGGGGGACTTTTGGATGTCCTCTTTGGTCATTCACCGGGCACCGGTACCACGACCAAATCCTTCGGACCAACCGCCAGACCGGGTCCGGCGCGAGGTTTCGCCATTGCTCGGACGTGCCGGGAACGGCGGACGTGCCGGGAACGGCGGCACATCCGGTGACCGTTGGATGGACGTTGAAGCTGAAAGGACACACTTGTGCTTCCAATGGTCACCTGCTTGGACGTTGAAGCAATAGGTGGATGGACGTTGAAGCACACTTAGCCTTTGCATCCACCTGACCTATTGTGTTTCCAATGGATGTCCAGTGGTCAGCACGAAAGAAAGCAGCTGGAGATACTTGACTCTTTGGGTGTCTGCCAGGACCAGGTGTCTTTGAGCGAAGGCTTCTGGCAGAGCCCCGCAGAGCCAACCAAAGTTGATGAAGATTATTCAAAGCTTCCACAAGATGACATGTGAGTAATCTTCATCAACTCTCGCCCCAAAACTCAAGCACCATGAGGTACATTGGATCAAAAGAACTGTTCAAGAAGCCCGTGAAAGACCTGGACTGTTCTCCACCTGCACTGCATGTGAAGACCACAACTGGGGCTCGGCTTACACGAGTTAACCCTGCATGATAATTCGATGATCATTAGTACATTAGTTAATCTGTTTTTGAGTGGATCTCCACGAAGTAGACCACTAGTCACTAGACGCAACCGAACCTGTGGGCTTGCCAGTCCCACCTGCAAGATGATGCATGAAAAATAGAGAAGATACTCCCTTAGTTGAGATCTTAAGGGTCTGATTGGATGGTTTGGCGTATTTGTAGAACATTGTAGAACTAATTACTCCGCTTGGTGCTTCCAACCGAAGAAAGTCATCCCAGGCTTTCAGGCGGAACATCAGTTGTATTGGTGAAAGCTAAGAAAGAACATTGCACCTTCCAAAATTCATGGGTAACCTTGCTCATTTTGTCTATTTATCAATGTTATCTATGACAAAACAAACAATACATATATAATATAATACATTATAATATTGTAATATAATACAATATAATATATTATAATATTATAAATAACACAATACAATATATAATATATATAATATATACATATACATCAACAATCACCACTCTAAATGTAGGATTCAGCTAATGCTATAGACCATCTTTCTGGTGGCGATCCGCTGTCAGGAACGGAGGCGCTCCGCGCGCCGCTCCGTTACGCACCAAGGCACCGGGTCGTTACGCACCAGCACGACCGACCGGTGGCTGAGGCGCCTCAGGCTCCTGGAAGTGGGGGGATTCACCACTGAGGCACGGAAGGTGAGGTGAGTGACCTGGTTGTGTAAGAGGACCAAAGCGTTGGAGTTTTGTGGATCAATTTGATGTGTGAAGGACCAGTAAGTTGCAGTTGAACTGTATAGGCTGTACTGGCGTCTACTCCAAAACCCTTCCTCTATCAGCAACTTCAAGAGTGCCTCATCTCTGGAGGCTAGTGCCCCGCTGAAGTCAGTCTTGGGGAGTTTCTCCGCCACTTTCCCACTGTCTAGGGAGTTTTGCAATTCTGAAACTCTCTTCAACACGCTTCGAAAGCACCTCCATTTTGAGGGAATATAATCTCCCCAGCGCCCATGGGCGCGCCCTCCAAACCAAGAACTAGCTTGCAGAGTCGTGGTGGCGACATATCTTCTTGAGGTTTCCAGGTGCGCAAAAAAGAGTCAAGAGACTTGATTTGATGTTTAAAAAAACATTCGTTGCATCGACAACTTCCATGTTTTGCGTCTTCAAACCCTCGGTCCGCCCAAGGTAGGGCGAAGCAAGGCGTGGCCTGTCAACCAGGGTGGCGCCCTGACCGAGCCCGCAGGTGCTCAGAAACTCTCAGAGGCTCGGTCAGTGTGAAGCGAAACCTTCCCTCATGCGGTGAGGGTAGAAACAAGCCTTGGACCTGGACCCGACTTCAAGTACCCCAAGGAAATGGGACATGAGCCTAGTTGAAACAGGTACTTGTACCCAAATTAGGAGTAAAATACTAGGCCTTTTGGTCCACAGAACCCCTAAGCAGGTGCTTTTGGGTGCTCAAACATGCTGCAACATCCACAAGAGCCTGTCATCTGTCATCCCATACTGTCTCCGATGTCCTGCTTTGGCACAGCCTCAGCAAGTGAATGATCAAGCCTCTTTGCAGCATCCGCTCAAACATCCAAGAACATGTCACTCAATGAATCTAGCATCACCTGCCAATGCTTGCCTCACCAATAATATCAGTAGCATTGCATCAATTGCCTTTGCCTGTTTTACAGCCTTTGCTCGCCAAAAACTTAAGTTTTGGGGATAACCGGAGAAGTCCTTTTGGTCTGGCCCTTACCAAACACATGAGTGCACAACATCACAACACCAGGTTCAGGCAGTAGTTCAGGTGTCCGCTTATCGACCTGTCGGCTTTCACGCCTCATCCTGGGACTTCGCCCTTTTTCTGGAACCTCTCCCATCTGAGACGACTCTCGACCAACGCACGACTGACCTGAAGCGGGAACACCGCGAGGAGTGAGTTGGGTTGTCCTGAACACCCCCCTCGGGAGTCCATCTCCACGAGTTCGGTGCATTCAGTGCATTCCATACATGTTCTGCCAATGTATGCAGATGTTGGAGAGACATACAGTACCCATTCACTCCATGGGACTGCCATATACCTGGACCCTCCAAGGGGTGCCCAATGGAAGCCTATAGGTAGTGTGGGGTAGTCCATTGGACACCCCTTGGAGGGTCCAGGTATATCATATATATATATATTGCCGATCAGTTGGTTTTTGGTGGTGGTGCCAGGGGGAGTCGTTCTGTAGTACATATCACAGACATGGAATGTTTGGGATAGGGAATGAGCCCCTACACTCATAACCAAATAGATGTCCCTTTCCTCTAAAACAACATATCCCTCAAATAGAGGGAATTGAATTTAGACATGGAGTGTTTGGGGATGTTTGGGGTATACACTTTCTGTTGCCCGGCAATCCCATGTGATCCCAATCCCGCTTCGATTCTCCCGTGCCGTTCACGTCGCGCCGATCGCGCTGATCGCTCCGGGGCACGGTGGTGGCCACACCGGTGGAGCCAAAGCCGCCCGCGCCGCGCAGCGTCTCGTCCAGCGACCTGACCAAAGCCATTTTTCTTATAGGAGACAACAGGAAACCACCAATTATACAGCATAGCATAGTCAATCAAAGTTATGTTCAGTTATTTTCATCTTGAATCTTGATTACCAAACTGATCAGTCATGCCAGTCATGCACTACATACCCACCGACCCCACATCCAAAAAGACACGACGGCACGGCCCCAGCCCATCAAAGCACGTGCGTTGTTGGTCTCGTCTTGTGCCAAGATGCGCCACTTCTTGGCAGTCGACCAAAGAGATCTGCCTTCAGGTGGAACAAGATGGGAAACAAAACATAAAAGCAACATCTCCCGTTTCTTCATGTTTCTTCCGTCTGACTGAACTTCATCCCCGGTGTGTGAGTTCGGTCATTGACAGGGACTCCAAGGTTCACGAACTGATGAAGCTGGTCTTTACATGCAGTCTACGACTACGAGCTCCCTTCATCAGCTTGCCATAGGAGGTCTCCACTGCAAAGGCTGAAGTGCAGCACCAAGCTATGTCCAAACCCTTTGAGTTGAAAGCTCCCAGCCATCACGAAAAAAATCGAAAAGCCACGGAGGAAAACTGGAGGAAACTGGACTGATTTCTCCGAACGGCGGAACAAAAAAAACGAGCGTGTTCCGCATGCGGTTCTCTCACGTGAACAGCGGAAATCCAAAATCGGACTCTGAAGTCCGGTTGACCATCCAGCGACCGATGCTCATCGACCGATGCGCAGCAAAGAAAGCCCGTTTTTCGGATCAAAGGTGATTAAACGGTTTCAGGTTTCAACCGACGAAGGGATGCTAAGAGTCCAAGCATGGTATATGGTATGCAAATCCATATCTATTCAAAGGTTAGTTATCTTTGTAAGTATTCAGTACAAGAATTGGGATAGACTCCGGATAGACACAACCTGGGTATGCGCCAAACACATGGGTTTAGTGCGGCCCGAACTGGCCCATGGACTTCTATAAAAGCTGCAGGTTTCTGTCTCCGCCATCCACTGACTGACCCGCTCTCCGGATGCGAATCTGAGCAGCTGGAGGATCAGTTGCGCCACGCGATCGCCCACGGACACGGCGAAGTCCTGAAGAGCCGCATCTCTTCAGCTGAAACGCGTCCATGGACACCGAGGCCAGACCCCAACATCTATAGAGTTCAACTCTCTTAATCAAAGAGAGTCAAACCCAAGTGATGTTTGGGCTCTCCATGTTAGCCTGCCTGCCTGCCAGGAACCTTTACTAGGAAGTCATCATAAGTCATCCTTTCATCTAAGATCCTTTAAGAATCAAAGTCTGTTTCAAAAATAACAACATACAAACATACAACATACAAACATACAACAACAACATGCAACTCCATCAAGCTCCTCTGCACCGTGGTTGAAGAGGACCACACCCACCTGAACCGGCCGATGACGTGAGGTTCGAGAGTCGTGGACTCTGCGTTTTCTGCGTCGTTCGTCAAGCCGTGCCTCCCCGCGGTGGGCGTGGTGCACTACACCAGCTCCGGTGTGAATCCTTGGTGTTTCTCAGAATGACTCAATGACTTGTCAAGCAATTGGCATTCAACAAGCTGCCAACACGCGGCCACTATTGCGGATCCATGATATAGTAAAAAAAAACAAAGCACTGGACACATCGAAATCTGGACAGGCATCAGATTGATCTTGCATGCAATTGCATCCAAAGGGCATCTTCTTCACTGCAAGGCCAGAACGAGGAGCCACCCTTGCATATGTTCCCTGACACATGTGGCACGCGCGCAAGACAGCCACGCAACCAGCCAAACAACTCAACAAATCAGGAAGGGTGGCTCAATGTATTACATTATGTATACAGTAATTTACACGACCTTGGACTTCGCAGAATGCCAGGACCAGGCCAGGACCAGGCCTCTGGAATGGCGATGGAAATCCCAGTCTTCACCAGGCCCTGCGCAGAAAACGGCGAAAGTCAGCAAGTTTGCTGAGGCTCATCAGTTCTGTGCTTGAAGGTTAGCGGTGAGCAGCATGGTTGATGGATTTGGCCACGTTTTCAGTGGTCTTTGAGATCCCGTGTGATCCCTGACGACTGGTCACTGATCCACGTTTCACCTCATTGCGCCCACAGATTCCAGGATTGATGTGACCAACGCCACAACGCCGCACACACACACACTTGGTCCCATGGAAATCGAGCATGTACCTGGTGGGTGGAGACCACCGACCAGTCGAAAACATTCGCACCCAATATCGCACGGATCGCACAGATCGCCTGACCACCCGCAGGGATGACAGTAGCCTCTGCGGCCGCGAGGTCGAAACCTGCAGCTGCCTTGGTGATGGCGTCCGGGTCCCAGGTCGAAGCCAGTGGGACTGGCAGCATGGCACTGGGGTGGGAGGAGTGTTGTGCGGTGGACCAGCGGAAATGACGAGGTCAAGCTACTAAGGGTTTGTTCTCTCCGAGCCGGTGACCGGTGCTCCAAATCACGTCGGGAGCACTGCCACCGGTGACCGGTGTCCCACCATCTGTCACCTGACACCAGACCTGCACCGGTGCTTGCCACAGGCACTTTGGATCCACGAGCCGGAAGCACAGCCGAGGGCGTGAGGCGCTTCACCAGCATCTCCTGCACTGAGGATGTTTTACCACATATTTTCACATGGCTAATGGAAGAAAGACACTGACCTGGAAAGGAAACACCTGAGCCACTCTAAAAACCTGCAGTCACTCCCTATGTCGTATCACTTTCCTTGCGCGAGGCCTTACGCGCTGCTTACGCGGCCCTCACTTTTGCTTACGCAGAGCAAACTTCCGAAATGCTTACGCGAAATGCTTACGCAGTCTTACGCAACCCAGGGTTTTGCTTACGCGGAAGAGGAGCTTTCTCTGAGGTGGCCACAGAAGTTCTTTATCCGACTGGATCATTGACTTTGTCGGAGACAGCGCGGGAACATTGGTAGATTCTTCATGCACTGTAAATCAGTGATTCCCACAGGGACCCCAATCCCCAAAAGATTTAGTGAAGAACTGGGTGAGACCTGCCACAGGGGTAGCATGGTGGGACCACTGCGGATGTGGACACTGAAACCGGAGGAACCACCGCGTCAAACCGATGGCCTCCAGTCCATGAGTAGCTTCCTCGAAGGACCTTGGTGTCTCATGAGCCGACCGACAGAAACACCCGACAGAGATCCCTCGAGTGAAGTGCACGTGTTCAACACCTTTGAATCTCGGTTCTAGCTGGTTACGCCCTTTGGTGAAAAAGCCCACGTTCATCTGTGGATTGACCATGTTGCTTGGCAAAAACATATAGAAACATGGGGCATGACATGTACAAAACGTCACATCATTACATGGCACTATCAAAAAAGGAAAGAGACATACTAGTTGCAAATTCCCACCCGAGTTCTCACCAGATACAAAGAACCAAGGAGATAAGGAGAACGACTGAAGAACTGCAGGTTTTCCAGGTCTCGTTTCAGAAACGTTTCATGCTGAAAACGCTGTCTCTCCCGCCTTTGGAAGCCCACGAACCAACGACACAGGTCTCCGGTCATTTGGTCCGTCGTTCCACGGTCCGTCGTTCCGGGGGAGCGAGGAACGCGGTCGATGTCGAGACTTTTGGCTCGAGCTGCTCGACTTCTCGGCAAGTTGTCATGCTGATTTTCCTGGGACGGTCGCGGTTGTGGGACGGAAAACCACAAACGCACAAGACCCGTGTGGTCAGGGCGGAACGAAAAATCCGTTGATCCGCTGTGTGAAGACAAACATCGACCTCTATAGGCCCATGCACCAAAAAGAGGCCAACTCCTCTGTCAAAAGACCACCGACATGTGTTTGTTCACCTTTGTGAGCATTGTGGTTTTTGATAGTTTAGTTTAGACAAGGTCGTGCGCTCTGACAGTGGCGGCCAAAGCTGACATCGGTCACTCGACCCTGTCGTCACACCACGAAATCCTCAACCCAAAGGGAATGTTCTTTCAAGAGAACCCCCAACGAACACCTTGACCTGCTAAACAAATGGCTCTAGGAGCTGCTAGGAGCTACTATGCAAATCACATGTGTATGGCTCTAGGAGCTGCTAGGCACATCACTCGGCCGGACAATGGAATGGTTTCGCAAGCAAAAAGGTTTGTATACTGCCTTTTTGTAGAGCATGATACAGATTGTCATGCCAAAAGCTGAAACTCATCACTTTGATGCAACTCCAAGCCACAGGGTACCACCGGCCAATGGTATCCGGTATCCTTGCCTACACATACCAGCAGTCCACATACAGTACCTGTTTTCGAAGGTCGCCTCCTAAACTCCAAAGCCATCCCTGACATACCCAAACACTTCTCAAGAAGTACGTGGATTCGTCGTGCCAGTCAGTCGAGACTCTCGAGAATCAGCTGCGCTACGCGATCACCAGTGGCCACAGCAAAGTCCTGCCAGTCAGTGAAGGTTGCCAATCAGGTGATCCACAAGTCTGGACCTCCCATTGATGGAGGAAAGACACTGGCGCCACCAAGGAGATACCACCAAACCAGGAGTCCTACCGCAAAAAAATGGTGCAGGAGACACCGCTTCCACGGGATGACCGGCCCGAAGAACTGCATATGATGAGGTGAGGGTCAAAAGGGAGATCCACTGACAGGAGCAATGTTGGAGTTTTTCATGTTTTTATAACAAGGCTTTGAGATAGGAAAAGAACACAAAGTGTTGCAAGTGAATAGGCTGTCGTTCACCAATCTATGCTGTCTAGGATTGTTGTTTTGCAACTCCAAGAGCTAACATGGACCTCTATATTGACCTTCCATCCAACATGAAACTTGACAGCCCAAAGGATCTTTCCACTGTATCTTATCCAACATGCATCGAACATGGCAGCCCGGCGGATAGGAATCAGGTCGGCATCAGGTCTTTCGGCTCGGTAGACAGTTTTACTCCTTGGAATATCATGTGGACTGTTGATTCTATATGATTCTATTACTTCTATTTCAACCCCACTACCAGCATGCCTGAAAACATCTCCATGTCTGGGGAAGCTGCGATTCATTCAACAGTCTACATTATCTTGAATTTCCTTACAGAACTGGAAAAAATGCATGAAACAAAAACAAAATGAAACATTCAAAAATCAAAGTAAATCACTCAAAGGAAGCACTTCTGAGGAAATATTATATTCCCCAGAAGAGGAATCACTGGAAAAATACCAAAAATCGCTCCCAATCCAAAACCAGGCTCTGGTGCTCTGAGCCACTTGCAAAGGTCGGACCGTCGGACTGTCCTCAGCACCGTGGTTGAAGAGGACCACGCCCACCTCAACCGGCGGTCAGTGTGACTCCTGTGTCATGTGGGTGGCCGGCGAGCCATACGGAGTACCCATGGGTCATCACATGCCGAGGTACCAATCCGCCCACCAAAATGAAGGTCCTTTGTAAATAGGAAATCTATCATGAATCATCGATTTAACAGGTCGAGCACTGTGAAGCCAACCAAAGATCTGCTGCGGCCTCCCCGCGGTAGTCGTAGTCCACAACCCCAGCTCCTGCATGAATCCTCAGAACCAACCGCTGGCGACCTTTTTGGCTGCGCTTTTCGCATCTTTTAGCAAACCCCCCAAAAGGCTGCAAATCAACATGGTCTTCCCTGTAATCGTTTGTGCAGGTGAGTGTTGTCGTCTGGATCCAAGCTGCATCTTCTTGACAGCAAGGCCAGAACGAGGAGCCACCCTTGCATACGTCCCCTGATAAACAGAGCACGCTGAGCAGTGCACAGTCAGTCTACGCTGGGAAGTCACGGGCCTCTGGAATGGCAATCGAAAGCCCAGTCTTCACAATGCCCTGGCGCTCCGCTCCAAAAGCACATTGGGTGTCCCTTAAAGTAGGAAGAAACCTCTTGCAAACAGGATGGGAAAAGATCATAAAGCAAATGAATGAAATTTCAACATGAATTTCAGCAAGCTTCCAGTGCCATAGTGCTCCTTTCTCAAGGTAATCCAAAAGAATGTGACTGAATAATCAATCCCACCTCCCTCTCAGGGTAACCGGACCCTCGCGCACCTTGCCACCAGCAGGGATCACCGTGGCCTCAGCGGCTGCAAGGTCAAAGCCTGCAGCTGCCTTGGCGACATGATCGGAGAAACAACTCGAGAATTTTACAGTGGTTTCAGTGATTTCAGAGGTTCGATGGCACTGGCACACCTGCATGTCCTTTAGATGGGCTTCCATATTATAAGCACCTTTTTGGAATTGTGCCATCTACTCTGAAACCACTGCACAACGACCGGCGGAAGCCGGGAAAAGAATCAACAAAATCTTCCCTCCCAGTGTCGGGGATGTACTCAGTTCGGGGAAAAAATGACCTTAAGCAAACCCAGGATTGCCCAGTTCGGGAATATAAAAACCACAGTAAGCAGCAAAACCAGGATTGGTAATCATTTTCTATGACTTCTGTCTTTCCTGGTGGTTGTTAATAGCCATCGGTGAAGAGCCCAAAGACCAGGGACCTGATTTTCGAGTACAGATTGGGAGACAGCACTGGGTTCAGGTCAGAAAACCAAACATCAACAGCCCCACGTCTCAGTCCGACACCCAACATCAGCCCACCAAAACGATCCAAGACCGGATGAAGCTCGACATCCGACCAACCCGGATTGGTTTCCGACCCGAACGGTTTCACGGATTTCTGGAAGAACACCACTTCGCACTGGAAGAGGTGTCTACTTATATACTTAATTGATTACTGTATACGTGTTTTCCTGGATTGATCCCTGAAAACATACAAAACAACATATAACGGACGTAACATCGGACTACAGGTATTGTCTTCGTTCGTCTGGAGTGACTGGGCGATCCACGCACCCATGTGACATACCGTATGTCGCTGGCCACTGATCCGATCCCACTGGAGCTTTTCGCACCTTCTGACCTTCTGAAAGGGTAGTTGACAGAAGGTCAGAAGGTCTGACTTGACAGTGGTACCTTCTGAAAGGGTAGTTGGCACCTTCTGACCTTCTTGCTGCCTCCTTCCACCGGAAGTTCGGTGTACCTTCGGGGTGAACACCGAGAGGCAGCAGAACCGCGGACCGGCAGGACCGCAGTGGATGTCGAGCGCTTCACCAGCATCTCCTGCAGCGGACGACACGCAGGCTGACCGACCGGTGACCGACCACGTCTCACTCTGTGGACCCAAAAAAACCATCAAGCCATCCCTGGGTGTGGAAGCGAACGGTACGCAACAGAGCCGACCACTGGGGTACTCTGATTCGCAGCGTTTTGGAGAAGAGCGAACTGCATAGTGAGTTTAGAAGCATACTGAGCTTCATGAAAGCTGGATTCGAGTCTCATACTGGACTCTTCGTCGAAAAAACACTCCATGTATGGCAAATATATACATTAATTTGGTTTATAGGGGTCAATGATCAATGGATGCATATTATTCCAGTCCCATGGGTGTCGACCCTCGACCCATGGCTGCGGCCTCTCCACGCTGCAAAGGCAACTCCTGGCAGTGAATGGAGTCATGGAGTCTACAGATTTTGATCGGAAAGCAATCTGTGAATTTTCGGCTAGGCTAGAACTACTCTCCCCAAATCAAACGTAACCCCCTAAAGTGGTTTTTTATTTTTTTTGGCAACGTTAGTCGAAAGATGCTGAAAGGGCACAAGTGGTGTCTGTGAGGAGGATATGTTAGCAAGATTCCGCAGGGATAAGTCAAAAATGGAAACGGCCATGTTAGTGGATGCTGGGGGACATTTTGACAAGTTTCATGACTCTGAACTGGCACAACTGGTGTCTGGGACGAGGATATGTTAGCAGCTAGGAGAAGCATTGAACGTGACCCATGCCCTGAACGTGGTATCGGTGAGGAGGACATGTTAGCAACAGTCTGCAGAGGAACATGTGTTGCAAATCCTCCGACATGGAAGCAGCCATGTTAATTGATGCCGGGAAAATTGAAGTTTCATGACTCTGAAATGGCAGAAGTGGTGTTTGCGAGGGGGGATATGTTAGCAACTAATGTTTTTCTGGTTGCCAAACAAACCGAAGTTTGCCTCCAATGAGTGCAAGCAGCAACTGGGCTCCAGGGAAGCTCTACTAGAAGCAAGATCCCTCAAAGAAGCAAGATGTTGGAAGCTCTACTGTAGACTTCAGATGGTTGGGTTTTGAAGAACAACTGTTCACATGCACCAGGAGCATGGCTATCATGGGTCTCATTCACTATATTCATTTGGGGGTGGCCATGTTACTTTGTTTCGGCCATGTTACTTTGTTTCGGCACGTGCAAAGACTCACATAGCCCTCCAAAAGGGGCATTGATTCTTCCAGAATGGCAAAAATCCTAGTTGCACGGACTAACATAGCCCCCTAAAATGGTCACATTTTTGACCAAAATTGCAATATGCATGGTTGCCCCAGGCCAGGTTAGCAATGTTTTTGGACCTTTTCTTGAAGCTACCGAAAAGCAAAAGTTACATGCAATTCCCCAGGAAACACCGGAGAGGTTTGGGATATGTTAGTTTGGGTCCTCACTGCTGCCAGGGGTACGTTTGATTTGGGGAGTGTATCAGTGAACTGACACAGGCATTGGACATCGTTGGATATTGGAAAAATTATGCGAATTGGTACTGTCGGACCATCTGTAGCTTTGTGGTGGATCCTTTCTGACTCTTTCTTTCCCGAGATATCTTTCAGATCTGCCTGAGGGTTCATGTGCCTGAGTTCTGCAAAGAAAATCAGAGAAGACCATGGAAAACGATCGAAACCATTGAGACGCAAATCGACTGTACCGTCGGACCGATCTGGGTGCTTTGGAAGGTCCAACTGTAGGCAACGCTGAGTACTCATGCAGCACTGTAGATCCCCCCAAGGCATGCACCAAATATTGAAAGACTGATACGGCAAAAAAACAATAGAACAGGCATGTTCCCCCAATTGTTTCAATTGGAATGTTCATGGGTTTTTGCTTCCCTCTTGGTGAGTTCACATGAATTCAACTATACCCCAAACAATCTGTCAAAAACTCCTCCAAGGACTTACAATAGTCTTGGCGAATGGGACGATCTGTCTCCACGTCCCACAGCACAGTCCTGCGCTTCGCTTCGCTGACGCTTGGCCGGCGCCTGTGGCTTTCGGCGCGGCCAAGCGGCGCAGAACGAGAAGACGGGCGACGACTGCAAAACGAAACGCTGCGGCATGCTGCGGAGTTTGTTTTGTTTTTTGGATTGAACATGTAATCGCAAGAACGGTATACTAATTGAATGTCTTAACTTATTTTAACTGTAAACTTATATAGACTTTATCCAATCCACTTCAAGCTGGTTCCTTTCCATTTTGGAACTGGCTCTATGTATAGAAGTTTGTGTGGGGGCGTTGTCAATGATGGCTTAATTCCAACTCAATCAGAAGCCCTAATAGGTGGGCATCAAGGATTGAACCAAAAAAGCCTGGGATCGGTAACTTGCGCGGACTGCTAAAAGCTTAACTTTTTGACTGGTTCCTAGCCCACACCCCTCCACCCGAATGGTTGGCGCTCACGACCACGCTTCTTTTCTTCACCGCGTCACGCTGGTCAGTTTCGCCAGCAACCCTTGCCAGGTCAGACAGTCTCCACCCACCTGAAAGGTGAGCCGCGGGTGCCCCACCTTTTCAGGCATCGCGCCCTTCACAACACTGCAGGCATCTCTCGGTACTTCGAAGCCTCTTGCAAAGATCTTTCGACGCTTCCATCAAAACAGCCGCATGCTCAGGGTGCTTTGCGCAAAAGCATTACGTCAGGTACAATACATGTGCATCCGCAACGCACAGGCAAAAGAGATGCAAGTGCCCCCGCGGTTCTTTGACAAAGCCCACTGACGGTCTGCCAGCCTGAGCCCATGTAGCCTGAGCCTGGCAAGCAAACCGGTGTCAGCATAGAGCGCAGGCTTAATCTCCCAACCAAAACCAAATGGCACTCTGAAGGGTGCTTGACCCGGTGGTACCAGCGATGTTGCGGGACTGGCACGTCTGCATGCGCCCAAATTCGGGTGCGCTTTCGGAAGCGGCAATTTTTGGTAAAGGCCACCCCTTCCATCCATGTAGGGCACCGCCTTGCCTGCAGGTAAAGCTTTGACCATGTCTAAATGCGTCCTTTGCACATCCTCTTGAACATCCATCGCAGTTTCCTTGTGGGCCACAATTGCAAAAGAACATCAAAATGGAGCATGAAGACACACATAGCAACCTCTTCACGCAACAGTCAGAAGAAACATGGGCAGCCGGCAAACCGGATAATAATAGTTTTTCTCAAATCGAAAAAGACTAGTGGCAAGGATCTGCTTGGGCTCACACTCGGCAAGCTCATTCGCTTTCCGCTTGGAAGCAGCGAGCGAGGGCACAGGGGTACGTGGAGCTGGAAAGCCGGATGATTGAGCAGATTCTCTGGCAGTCGAAACTTCAAACATGCGATCCACCACTGGCTGCAAATCAAGTTTCTTCCCCGACCGAGACACGATGTCCCGAACAGCTTTGCCACGCTTCTCCTTTGCATCCTGAAGGGTGCCCGGCCTATAGGTTTGGAAGCACCAATGTTGTTCAATCGTGGCTTTTCCTCACTCACGATCAGCCTGGCCCTGAAGGCTGCGACCAGGCAGCTGTCGCTCACCAAAGAAAGACCGGTACACGTTCTGCACTTTCAGGCAGAAGTTGAAAGCTTGGTACTTCACACCTCGCTGAGCGCTATCGGCCATGCTGCGGAAGAGTTCATCCGGGTTGAAAGCTCGCCCAAGGCGCCGTCCCTGGTAGCATTGGACATGAGTTTGATGGAGGTTTCCAAAAGCTTCTCGTTGAGTGCCTGAGATCGATGTTTGAGCTCAGCCAGCTGCACCTCACCGAGCCATCTCTCGACATTCTGGGTCCCAGTCAGCGCGCATAAAGCTTTTTGAATCACTGCTGCAGGCTCTGCAGCGTTCGGACCCATGCTGCTGTAGACTCCCATACTGTTGTAGCATGGCTTGGTTGTTCTCGAACTCCTTCTTGCTCCCGCAGGCAGCATTCTGATAGTAGAACTGAGCTCCCGCAAAAAGGTCCATGCTGGGGCCCTCTTCATCATCCGTCCCAACCAACTGCTTCCTGGAGGCAGTGAATGAAAAGTGGAATTGAGCACAAGCAAATAAACAAGAAAAAGAGACTAGGGAAAAAAAGGTAAAGGAGATTAAATGGCAAGGAATTAAAGCAATGCAGGAATCAGAACCCGCCCAAGAAAAGCAAGCAAGAAAAGGAACGAGAAGCCAAGCAAGCAAGCCAACTCTGCTGGCCCGCGCCTGCATCAGAGCCAAAAAGCCAAAAGGAAACAGCCACGGCCAAGTGCCCAAACATAAAAGCTGGTAGCCCGAACGAAGCATTTTGTGTCCGCCAGGCAAACAATGCGCCCCCCCCACGCACCCTGTGCAGTTGACGCGGGCGAATCAACGGCCAGATAGGGCCACAAGCCCAGTGACCGTGAGGCTGCGGGACGCAGGAGCAATGGCAGGAAACAATGGAAAGCCAGCGGCAGTCTTGCCGAAAGCCCACTGTTGGGATCTGGCGCAGCATGGCCGGGGTGGCATGTCCAGGATTTGGGATAGCAATAGTTTCATGTTTTTCCACGTTCTGGGCTGCAAGGCGACATGAAGGTCGCAATCAGCACTTCCACGTCAGCATTGCCAACCTTGTGGTGACCATGCTAGAATGCGCCCTTGCGAGCGACAAGGGCCCACATAAGCACACAGGCAGTAGACACGCTGCACCCACACCCAAGAAAAAACAAAGGACACAAGAGAGAGGGGAAAGGGAGCATGGAAGAAACAGCAGGATGCACCTGCCATACCGGAGCATCCTGGCCTTTCTTCCTCCCAAGTGCCTGCTGAGCATGGATGTCTTCATCACCTCACTTTTTTCACGCGCTGGCAAAGCTGTTCAAGCTGGCATTCAAAAATCGCGACACCGTTGAATTAATGTGGAAGCCTTCGCGCTTGTGCCTGGCGTTTTCGCAGGACCCGGGCAAAATGAAATCTATGATCTTACTGAGCTCACAAAGAAAAAACTCAAAACGAGAGTCTGACCAAGTCATCATATCACGACCCGCTTCGATCAGTTCTTTGCGGAGGTCTGCGCAGCCAGGAGGAGCGCGTAGTTTCTCCAGCCGCTCCTTGCTTCAGCTGTGTGGCTCAACAGAAAATAGCTTTGCGCACAAGCCTCTACAAATCATTCCAAGGAGCAATTTCGGCACGGATCATACGGTTGAGGCGCTTCACAGCCACAGTGCTCGTTGTAGTTGCAGATCATATCTGAAAAGCTGCAAGGCTGAGAATGCCTGGTCTTGTATTGCTCGGAGGTCAAATTTAGCCCGCAAAGAGCACCAGGGCCCATGAGGGTCCCACTTTGGCTGAGCCAGCTTGGGCGTCCATGGGGAAGAGTTTTCTGCTCATAGTGCATATCCAGCAAAGAGAAAGCGTTTCGACCGACCAGCGTTGAAAGCTGCCTGCCAAACGCGATCGACAAAGCTCGCCTCGAAATGCATGTGCCAAATGGCCCGCTCTTTCGACTGCCCTAACTCTTCTTGAGGTGAAAGTTCTTGACTTTCCGAAGCCTCTGCTGGACGAAGGCAGCGTCAGCATTCGCAGTCGCATGTTTGTCAAAGGCCGTGGTTAGAACCTTCGAGGGCTTCATCTTGCCGAGGACCTTTTCCAACAACTTAATCAAATTCCTTTTCGATACCTTTTCATCAGCCTCTTTGCGCGCAGCTTCGCAAGAGGTTGAACTGGCTGACAAATAGTCAAAAGCCATTGAAGAGAGCCAAAGCCGCTGCACAAACCACCTCCGCGTGCTCCTGCGGAGACACATGGGACAAGCAGTTCAAAGCCAAGACGGTCTGCTTGTCAGTGCCTTCATCCAAGACCTTGCGCTTGCACAGGACGTGGCTTGGCTTGACATGTTTCTCCTTGTGCGGAAGCTCTTCGCCATCTGAACGACAAGGGCAGAAGCAGCCGGTCACAGGCAGCATAGAAACGAGGCTGGCCAGCACGGCGCATCTCTTGCATCTTAGTAACTTAGTGGTAAGCACCAACAAACAAGTGAAGTTTTGGTTGATCTGTACTCCCCTAATTTTTCGGGGGAGTTACAAGGCAGTCAGGCATTCCCGAGAAAACAAGAAAACAACAACAAGGCAAGGTACTGCGCAGGCATGGCGCGCTATGAGGATGCCAGAGATCCGCTGCAGCTCTGTGACGGAAAGGACATGGCAGCTGGTCACAAGCTGGATACACGCTGTAGTGACAGTGCATCAGCAAAACATTTGTGCCAAGGAGACGCTGCTCAGTGTTCTGGACTCGACAGGCCAGCTCATATGTATCAAGCATAAAAGCCTTAGAGAATCCGCCCGCGCCGGAGGTGCCAAGGGCGTCATGTAGGCTCGTGTAGGTTCGCAAGGAATCCGGCTAGATAAGTCAGCTTTAGCTTGGGGGGTCCATTTTTCTCCTAGAAATGCTATGTGTTTCAATGTATTTGAGAAGTGGCTAAAATTGGACCAAATGTTGACGATGCCGGTTATGCCGGTCTGGGTAAATCGCAATATTGACATCGCAGACGTCTCGGCAAGCCAAGGGCACTGCACTATGGATATGCGATGCCGGTTATGCCGGCCAGGGGAGACTGCATTATGGACGTCGCAGAAATCGCAAACGTCTAGGCAAACCGCGGGACACTGTACGATTGATATCGTGGATGTGTTCGGGAGACAGACAGAGACAGACAGAGACAGACCCAGACCCAGACAGACCCAGACAGACAGAGACCGACAGAGACAGACCAGACCCAGACAGACCCAGACAGATCTAGACCCAGACAGACCCAGACAGACACAGAGAGACAGACAGACACAGAGAGACCGACAGACACAGAGAGACAGACCAGCCAGCCAGCCAGCCAGCCAGCCAGCCAGCCAGCCAGCCAGCCA